TGTTTTAGATTACACACAACACTGAAGATTAGTCGTTAAATAATTTCATAAATAAAATCAAATTGTATTGAATTAAAATTAAATTAGTTAATGAATAAATAGTTCTTGAAAAAGTACACAATAATATTAAACGAATTATTCACCAATTGTTGAAATATGTAATAAACAAAAATTTAAAATAATGTAATATTAATAATGGTGGAATGGTAAAGATGAATTATGAGGTTAATCACGGGGCCGAACTATGTTGAGTTATCAAATAATAAAACATCTCTACCTTACTTATTGTAGTTTATTACGTTAATTTTTAAGGAGTAAAACTGCAAATAAATAAACATTCGAACTTGCCTTTTTTTCCTTTCGTAGTTGACTGAATTAATCTTATGGTGATTTTTCGCTTCAGTGGCGAATATTCATTACATGTATATTGGATTGAAAAGAATTCTCTTCAATGGGACCTGCGTCTATTATGATTTGTTTTTTTTTTTATACTTTTTATATTATACTATGTTTTTACTAATAATATTTTATATGAATTCTCTATATCGATATTGATATTCACAAAATTCTCTCTTAACTTGTCTAAATATTATTGTAAGAATATTAAGTAAAATTAAAACTATATTAAAAATATTATTAATTTAAAAACTAAAAAATATTAAAAATATTTAACTCAAAAATGATGCAGACCAAGGCGAAAATACGCCTGATAGGAGCTGATATATTTTTTCTCAAAAAGTGTATTAAGTTCCCTATGNCAGGCAAAAGTATTACTACTAAGACTAATTTTTTCTAATTACAAATTACGCTTCTTCACTCTTCTTGGTACATTTAAGACTGTCCAGAAATGAAGGCACAATAATATTTAAAACCTATACAAAATACAAACAATATTTATTTTTTATAAGGATATAGATGTGTTAAGTTTAATATAAAAGGGCACAAAAACTCTCTTACTTCGACACACTCCTTCTTCACTCTTTCAACAAGTCCGAAGGTAAACATACATTTCACATTATGTAGAAATTCATATTATAAGAGAGGGCTGCAATCGTTTGCGTGCGGTCGGTTTAGCTGTGATCTTATGTACGAGTTTTGGACGACCGGCAGCAAACGGTAAAATATTAGTATATTACTATATTGGGTAATTTATTATTAGAATTAACTGCGCGTACGCTCTTCCTTATCGCGGTTGCTATAATTATATAATTTGCTATTATTATTTTCATCTCTATTTTCTGCTGCGACCTTTGAAATATGTGTATTGCTCTTTAGTAAAAAGTTTTTACCCACCAGCCATCGCTGATCAGCAATCTTATTGATCTAATAACCTATAATCTTCACTATCAACGATATCAATCCCATCGAATTATCTTTATTTCGATGTGACCGTTGAGTGTTATGTTAAACATGTCACCTCTATAACAAAATTTTAATTTCGAAACGATTAATTTTATTGGATTAGACTACAATTTCTTTTAAAAAACGGTAATAGGTAGAATAAAGATTGTTATGCCACCGACTCGAAAACACCATTTGGGTGGGGACATTTAGTATTTTCGCCTGTTATGGACACGACTTGAATCTTAATTAACTAAAATTTAATGACAATACTCTTCAATATAATAGAACAAATGTAAACTTATTATCACTAAACACAATATTACATAAATTAATATACCATTACTACACAATTATATATTTAAATGGTTTATGTGCAACCTGGTTACTTCATTTATTCCGTCTTGGCATAGAGAAAAGAAACGTTCTCCGCGACATGAACCAGCGGATGGGCATCCAAAAGTTTCTCTATGCTACCGAATTGGCGATCACGGATCTTAGCTGTGGGCTCTCAAGTTGAGGCACTCCACTGTCCGTCATAGGATCATTTCAGCATGACCGCCAACACACAGACTCGCCGTACACCACGACGCTCAACAATTCAGATCGCGTTGGCCGGTGGTACGCAAGTGGCGCTACATCTGATCGGCGGCCAAACAAAGATTATTTCTGTTTATATTCTCACATAAAAAGAAAATTGTTATGTTAAGACTAATGTTATGCTTTAAATATGTAATATATTTAACAATACTTCATTTTAAAATACATTTTAATAAATTTAATTTTTTTTACTCAGTTTTAATATTTACAATTTTTACATAAAAAAATTTCAGACTTCTGTTTCAGGCTTTTCAAAAAATGTTTTTTTGGTTGCTATTTTTTATATTATATTATCCTTTACTATTTTCTTTTATAATGTATACATATGTTCATTAAATATTAAGGTTATTTTGTTTAAAAAAAGTTGTTTGATGGAGATTCATTATTATTTCGATTAAAATTATACAATCTATGGAAATAACTTGAAACTTATTTAATTATTTAATGCTAATATAATTACATTTTATCGATACTTCAACTTAGACGCTTTAGGTCTTTTGAAAATCCGAGAATTTATGTAACTTCAAATTAGTATACAGAGTGTTCAGTAAGTCAGGAAACGGGTTTCTATTGTTCTCATTGTTTGTAACAATGAGAACAATAGAAACCCGTTTCCTGACTTACTGAACACTCTGTATACAGTTTTAATAACTTATCTTTTAAAATACAGTTATTAAATCCAATATTGTTCAAAGGAAATACAGAAAGTATAGTAGACGCTTATTTGTAATTAAACATGAATAAAAAATTTTTTATGTAATTGACTAAAACAAATTTATTATATTGGGTGAAATAATATTTAACTATTGTATGCAACTATGCCATTTTTTACATTAAATTAAACAATTTTCTTGTTTATTTTATAAACTTGGCATTGAACCTTAGAAATTAAAGGCCTATAAATAGACAATAAAATTACTATCTGCTTTAGTTCGTGTTGGAAGTTTATGTGCATTTTGTGTTACTCACGTAATATAAAAAATCAATATGAAATTTCTACACGCCATCGTATTTTTTCTTTATACAGTTGTGTTAAGTATAACAGTTGTATTGGAAACAGTCAAACGTATTGTCTATTTGATTTGGCGAGATGAAATTGATCAAATTTATGCCAGACATTTTAACCGTACCCATAAAAATTTTGGTGAATTTAAAAACGCCGAGAACTTAGAAAAAATTGTTAATGGAAATGGAAACGTTGTGACTGATAAACTGGACGCTGAACATTTAGAGAATTCAGTTAGTTTTAATTGCACCGTAATGATTTGTTCTCGAGAGCAGTTTGACAGTTTCGGTGATATAGTAAAAAACTTCATCAAACCGACTTCTACGGACTTGCAGATTAAAAATGATAAACTTACCAGTGACCAATGTGTCCAAGTTGACGACGCTATGTTTGGTGTTGTTTTAGTACAAGACATTGCACGAACAGCTGGAAGAGATATGTAAAAACTTAGAAACGTCGCCATTACTTGATAATACGGTGGAATATTTTGACATTGGTACGTCTTTTGTATACCTCAACGATTTATTTTGCAATTTATTTTCTATTAACATTGTTAATGGTTATGAAAAAATGAACGATTATACGATCATTACATTTAACATCGTAGTTCGGTCGATGAAGTGCTGATCAAAGGAAGTTATTTATTCATAACAAAAATTTAGTATTTGTCAATACATCTCTAGCTAATATAAATTTACATGGTGAGAAATATGAAATCGTTAAAGTTATTGGCCCTTTTAAGGAAACTACTGAAAATTCGCTATTTTGTGCTTTTATTTCAACAATCAACGATATGAGGTTGATTAACTCTGTTAATGAAGAGGATAATAAACTCTTTGTTTATCTCATCGATAAAGACACCACGGGCTATTAGTAACTTTGAATAAATAATTTCTTCCATATTTATAGTCCATAAACTCTTGTATGCTATAATAATTTAGCATATAAACTAACCTGTCAACGAAACTTTACAATATAATTTGTATTGTCTCGGACATCAGTATAGTTCGTATGCATAGATAAATCATATAAGGCCACCATAGAGATGTTCTGTTAATGATATTCAAAAAAATATATATTTTATATACTTCAAATATAATTAAAAAATGTTTTTTCACTTATTTTAACATTACTTTCGACGTATTTAAAATTTAAACTTTAAAAATATTTGTTATAATTCTTTTTATGTAATAAAAAATATTTATTTTGCAAATAATAATTTAAAAACTAATTACTATTTTATTTGTTAAATTTAAAAAAATATCAAAGTTACATTTTTATCTATTGTTAGAAATTATATTTTTTGTCATTAGTTATAAGTTGTGTTGGAATAAAAATATTGTTTGTTACTTGAATATGTTTTTCATTTTTGTAAATTAAGTAAATTAATGGGTTACAAATAACAGTGATATATTACTATTTTAATAGTCAAAGAGTGAAAATTTTGAAATTGAAGACACAAACAAAATTATTAAAAAAATAATTGACAAAAAATTAATTTTACCTAATTTAAATCAATACTTGTTCTTTTCTAAGCAATATTTTCAAAAAATAAATTAAAAAAACTATTTTAACAGAGAAAATACAGGTTTTTAGAGCTAATCATTTGGTGACTGGCTACAAAAAGAATTGTGAATTTAATTAGTGTAACTATTATTATGTCTATTGCGTATATCACTGTATTTTAATAGGTTTTATTGGAAACACATCATTGGTGTTAGTGATATACAAAATTATTAGGATGCGGTCACCTCCTGTCGTATTTATTGGTAACTTGCACAGGACCGATTGTTGTGGTAAACACACCATCTACTCTAATTAATTTAGTAAAAAAACAAATTCTTTATTCCTATTATTTGTGAAGATATTTAATTATTAAAAACATATTTTAAACATTATAATACAATATTGCACTATATTGAACTTTGTACCACTAATATAGATATTTTAAATAGACAATATCAGTAAAAAAAAATTAGTAAATTTAAAATAACGAAGTAACTTAATAAGAACAATATATTATTTTGAATGAACAAAAAAAGTATACTACATATAGAAATTAAACACAGCATTTATTAATTGTAAGAAAAAACAAATTATTTTACAAACTTCAATGTAACAATACGATCATCAAATTGTAATAACAAACACAACATAAAAAATAATTCATAATAAAATATTGATATTTAGTAATTTAAATAAAGATTTTTGAAAATTATTGCTTACTTTAATATAATTATTCTTCTTTAGTTACAAGTGAAGTTGTAACATTTAAATATACATCATTATGACATGAACAAAATACAAAAAAAAAAAAATTAAATTAAGAGGCAGAAATTGAATACTGTTTAATAATAACACAAAAATAACTATAACAATAACATTGGTATAACTTAGAGGAAATGTAAAAATAAAGGAACTCGTAACTATAAAATTGACATTTTGGGTGATCATAATATATAAGTATTGGACTAACATAAATGGTAGAAAAATGGTAAAACTGAGAAAAATCAATATAGTTATAAGCAAAATATGAGAATGAAAAAAAAAATTATATATATATAAATTGTAATGATTATTTTATAAGCGTTGATAAATTAAACATTATATTTTACGAGAGATTTTTGAAGTCATTTGATGGCAGTGATTTACTGCAAAAGTTACTAAAATTTTTAATTATATAAATTTAACTAAGTCTCTTAAGTATAGTCGAATGTGCTTAAATAACTTAAAGATTTAATGGAATACACAATTCGAGATCAATAATATTTACAACATACAATCAGTTTAGAAACATATCAGAAAATGTAATTTAATTAAATAAAATCAATTATACATTATTACAAAATTACTTGAAAATTTTGTTCAAAATATACAAATCAAACAGAATTTTTTTTATTTAACATACATTGATAAAATAAAATCTATTAATATAATCCGCGATATGGAAAACATTATATACAGAGAAAAAATAAGGAAATTTTTTTCTGAGTTTTTGACAACGATAATAATTTGTTGAACAAGTTAACCAAATTATAACTTTGAGCAATAATCAACATCTAAAAGTCACAATACACATGTAAAATTATCATTGCTTGTCAAGTGTTTTATCATAAATATTTTCTTGAGCAATATAAAACTTCTTATTATAGGAAATAAATACCATTTCTTTAAGAAACTTAAACAGTACATTAAAATGTAATATTAATTTCATTATACTTAGAAGTATATGTATGATTGAATACACAAAAATATAATATCATAGTTTGATAAAAATACAAAATAAAATCAAACAAAACGAATTTCAATAAATTGGTCTAATAATTTGTTAAAGAATTTAAAACTAAATTTGGTAGATAAAATAGTTTAGATATTGCTGTATTGATATATCAGTTAGCCTCTGAACCATTTATAAATTCAATATTTTGCTGTAACTGAAAAATAAAATGCAAGTTTAAAAATATATATAACCATTAACAATTAAATCCAATAAAAATAAATTATACATAGCTTAAAGGGTGTAGGTATACATTATTTATATGGGGCACATGGTTTAATTAATCTCCCATTATATTTATTAATCTTTGGTTACAATTTTGGAAATAGGTTTTTAAATTTTTAAAGATTCTGAGTAAAATCATCAAAACCCAGATATTTTTATGATTTCTTTGGCTATTTTAATAACTTTTAACTTATTTAATTAAAAAAATTTTGTATTTATTATTAATATTAAGTAACATATTAACTACATTAGAGTATTAAAGTTTTAGTAATATTACATTATAAAAAATACAAAAAACAATTTACCTTTAGTTTAAAATGGAATGCTACGAAGAGCAACATCAGCCAAAGTTTGTAGATTGACATTTGGATCAGGTAAGAAACAATCTGATAATATAAAATGAAATATTACTAAATCATGAAATATTTAGTAAAAGTAATGTTAAGTACTTACTCATTGTATCATTTTGACTTTCCACAAAAGTTCTTGATACTCGTTTCTTGTAATGGACTAAAGTTGAATTATTACTACAATTTGATTCGGGACTTGATAATCTACTAGAATTAGAATCTGAGGACACTGGAGAAGACAGTCTTTTAGTTTCATTGATAATAATTTCTTTGCAGTTGTAATCTCTAAAAATTGAATTTATATTTTGAAATTTTCAAATTTATACTAATATTAATAAATCAAAATTTAAGTAAAGAAGAAATAGAATAGCTAATGCAGTAATTGAGCATCCAGAAAGGAATATTACAAATAAAAAAAAACAGCAATTATTTTTGGTAATAGTTAAACTCAAATATCTTAAATTGTTTTCAAATTAATTTTTTTGTGTAGAATAAACATAGAATTTATTGTTGGATAACCTTTAAAACAGAACTAACTACTGTCTAAAATCATCAAGTCCATAAAAAATAATTCATCAAAGTTAGAAGAATAACATTTTTTTTAGTTACAATAAAAATTAAGCAATTTTTATTTCACCATGTATTGTTACTTTTTTAAAATATTTGCATATTGATATTTTGTTTATACAATACATTTTAGCAACACATTTTGTACAAAAATTTTGGGTTATTTAATGTTTTATAATATATTATCAATTCAACATATTATTAAATTCTTAGTATGTTAAGCATTGATAATAGTAATATTTTTTCTGAAATATATACCCACAACATTTTAGCAATTGTTGTGGCTCCTTGAGTTAAAATTTTTTATATAATTTTAAATTTATTTACATTTTCAAATAATTAAAAATAGATGATAAAAAAACCGATATTTTTCTTTTAAACTTTTTTATTTTTATACTCTTAATACATTAGTCTACTCTATTATATAAGAATATTATTATTAATAATAAAAAATAATTTAACATACTCTGTCCTGAAACGTTTTTTTGGAATAACTTGGATAGAATTAGAAGTTACATCAATGGTTTCATCTTTAGAACTACATATAAAAAAAATATATAACAAATCATATAATTATTAATAATTTTTTCTTTTTTACATTTAAACTTTAAGAAATATATTTGGATGGTTTTTGGGACAAGTTGGTAAAATAAGTAATAGTAATTTTACAGGTGATAAAAAATAAAAATAAAAATTTTTATTAATAGTTAAATGACTTTACAAGTTTAAATTGCAATAAGAAAAAAAATATATAATTAAAATGAGTACAATTGTTTTTATTGTAATTGAAAAATAATAATTAAAATTTTTACTTACGTTTCTTCAATTTCAATTTTTGTATTATTATCATTTGACTCATCTGTTTTTTTTTGTAATGCGGTGGCAGCTTTTATACTATTTCTTGTTTCACGACGGGATTGAGCTGGCAGTGTTACACAAAGTATTGATTCCTGTTTGTCGTTTGCTTCTTTTAAATGTTTTTTTCTTCCTTTTCGCCGTTGAGTTATAGTACCTAATGTAGGTAAATTTTTTGGTCCCCTAAAAATATAAATAGTACTATAAATTTAAGTCAGAATTAAAATAACAAATTTTAATAATTACATTTTTTTATTTTGTCGTTTAGATAAAGTATCATTCATGAACTGTTGGTATCGAACTCCTTTACAAGCTCTACTTTTCTTTCCTCTTGGTTCTTCAATAAGTTTTTCTGGGGCTTGTTCAATTTGTGCAGGTTCTAAATGTGTAGTTGAGTTAGAATCGTTAGAATCTTCTTCAATACGTCTTAATGTAAATTTTTTGAAACCAGAGCGATAATAAGATTCAGCCTTTGAATTGTGAGTATCTTTATTACTAAGATTTTTATTTTTCTCAGTATCTAAATTATTGTTCTTAATAACACTGCCAAAAGTACGAAATAGGAACTCTGTTGCTTTAGTATTTGACCTATTTGATTCTGCTTCAATAGCATTACGATATTGTAATATTGTTTCTTTAAGACATTTTGTAGATACACCTAAGTAATCAGGATCCATTACCATAATGCGTTTAGAATTATTACTCTCATTTATTTCACCACTATCAGCTTCCTAGTAAAGGAAAAATGGACAAATTAAATTATGAAAAATAGAACTAAAATACATAATTTACTATTTTCTTCATATTAACTATACTTAATATACTAAGTTTTTCAAGGTATATAGATTTTGTCATGAGGGAAAATTTATCAAAAATTTTCTAAAACACTCTAAATGATAAAAGAAAATAGTTTTTTCATCATATAATTAACTATCAAGGAGTAGTGTTTAAGATGAAGAAATTTAAACAAAAAATGAATTTAATAAGTTAACCATTTGTTATTTTTCTACTGGTAGAATCAGACAAATCTGAAATTAACTTCAAAACTAATGCATTTTTTGTAATATATAGAAATAACAATGTTTTGGCAATACCTATAGATTAAATTATTTCACATACAAATAAATTTTTGGTAAATCTCCAAATAGAAAAAAAAATTAAAAAAAACTGTTAGAAACTCAAATAAGCAAAGGTAAATAGTGAAATCTATAGAGTCTACTATAAAATAACTTTTTAATATAACTTTTGAGGTATTTAAGTTCCATATAATTAACAGTAGGCACAATACTATGCCAAAAGTAATTAAATTATTATATTGTAATATTTGTAATATTTTACAAAAAACAAAATATAAAAATAAAATTGTATTTCAAAGCATTATACCACTTAGAATTAAGGTGACAACTTATTCAGTTTGAATTTTATATTATAAACAATAAATATCATATATGAAAAATAAACATTAATAAGCTAGTACATTATAAAGTTCTTACCATTTCGGCTTTTTCTAGAAATCTTTTTTTTGGTGGAAAATATTTTGACTCATCAATTGTATCTTCTATATCGTACTGCATATCTGACCATAGTGATGTATCTTTAAGATAGGTTTTTTTGCACTGAAAAATAATAGAAGTAATCTTGTTATTTATGGTTTAACCAATACATTTAATTATTATTAAATATTATGATTCTATATTTGTATTTGAGATGCATATGTGACTCACAATAAGAATTCAAACATAAAATAAAATAATAATACTCAACAAATCAACTGTAGGTAATTAAAAAATAATTTGAAAACAAAAAGATAACATAAATCATCAACCTACCATTAGTGTTATTTTTTATAACATTTTTTTAATACAAAAATTTACTATGATAAGAAAATTATAATAACTTATGGTTAGAAAACAATATAACAGTTATAACAATGCAAGACATTAAAAAAAGTATGTGTTACTTTAACACAAAGAGAAGTCAAGTTTCAAGTATGACTTAAAAAAAAAAAAAAGTTTTTCAAAAGAGTAGAGTTAAAAGCATTTCTAGATAATTTGTCATTTAAGAATTTTCCAGACTTATAGTAACACAACAAACTATGGGTTATTTGAAATTAATAGTAATAAAAAATTGTCAACAATTTTACTTACTGTGAGTTGTAATTCAATATTTTGAGAAGAATTTTCTGACCAGCTTCCTGGTCTTTTTATCTTTTTACCAAAATGTTGGTTGTCTTCTAATAAATTTCTACGTTGACTAAATAACATTAAAGCTTTTACAGGCCTAAAACATTGAAAAGCTCCATTTTGACATAAACTTTCTGGGCTAACTTTAATGCTCATAGTTGTAAGTACTTAATATCAATGAATAGTGTCAAAAACTAATCTGAAAATCAAAATACACATAAATTTATTTTATATGGGTTATTTTAAAAAGAAATTTACTCTATATACAGTTATACTTATATATTCAAAAGAGTTAATGAGTTGCTAATAAAAGCAGAATATATTTTTAACATAGATTTAAATAAAAACAATAATTTGCAATAAGTGATATTATATTAAATAAAAAGAAATTATCAATTGTCATTTAATACTTTTATCCTAATTATATAAATGTATCTTTATTATTTAAATATATTTGTATTGTATTGATTTTAAAAATAAGATAAAATTAATTTAGGATAATTACAATATAACGACACTTTTATGACAAGTAAATACTAGAATGAATGGCTAGAAATATAGATCTAAATTAAAAGATTAAAAATCTTTCAAAAAAAATATTTATCTTACCCAATTTTTAAAATAAGCGCCAAATGTTTAAGCAGGCAATCATATTTGAAAATATGATTTTTTGATGACAAATATTTGACGTTGAAGAAAACTTCATAAGTAATATAAGTTACATCCATCTTGGATTATATTTTTACTCATTTATAAAATCTTATAACCACGTAATCTCATCTCTATAATTAAATTAATAATTTTTATCCATAACTTATCAAAATTATAAGTATACACACATACAAATCCAAAGTAAAAAAGAAATGTAAGGAACTAGTTTCTCAAACTTTAAAATGCCAAGGTTTTCAACCTAATTACTTTTTTAGATATTTCAATAGGGAAATCATATTAAAGGACAGCTGATATGAATTTCCAATACACCCCCTTCATAATATATAAAAGATTAACCAATTTTAATAGACAAAATTCAAACTCTTAACTCTCAATCAAACCCATCACTGAGAGTTCAACACCTTACCTATAGCATCAATACATATTGAAATCACTTGGCCAAACATTTGACTTCTGTAAATTACATTTTATTAATTTTTTTAAATTTTCTGCTATATTCAAAATTGTTCTGTCAAAAAAGAAAATTAACTGAACATTAAGTTTAAAATGATATTATATTCAAATTTGAGACTTTTTCATAAAGATAAAAATCAGAACATATTACTTGATTATTCAGTCACTGATTAAAGACTAATTAAGATTAAAGCTTTTTATATGGATTAAATGTATAATAACAAAATGATAAATTTTGATACAACTATGATTTTTTTATCATAATTTTTTAACGTGTTATACTATCATACTTAAATATCACTTTCAAACTGAATTTGCTTATATTTCATTTAACTGAACTAAACTGAACATATAAATTTTTTTTTTCAAATGTGGTGTATCTTAAGGAATATAATAGGTAGCAGTTCTAATTTTGATATTTATTGTTATGATAAACATTATCTTTACTAGACACTTTCTGAACTCATTCATCAAACTTCTATAATTATTTTCTACTTTAGATTATTTTCAAATGAACTTCTAGTATAAGAACAAGGTCAAGAAAATAAATAGTAAAGAAATATCTCAACTAGTTGCCTGAATAATGCTTATTAGATTTTAACAGCCTAAAATTTAATTTGAATTTTGTATTCTCATTACTAAATGTTGAATCTTTTATCAATATCTAAATAACCAAGTAGTGATTGAGATAATAAATATGACTATTTGAGACTGAATATTTTAATACAAAATACATAAAAAAATTAATTTCTTTAATAATTGTCATTTTAATGTATTATTAAGGTAAGAATCAGGATAATTGAAACTATTCTAAATTTTTATTTATACCATTTCATTAGCAATAGCATTTTTAAAGCGGCAACACCCATATTTTATGTCACCTCTCATTACTCTGTTCCATTTCAATATTTTCCAAATTGCTTCTGAAAATAATTTAAATGATCTGAATGATATACATAGTAAATGGATCCTAAACTAACAAAGTCTGTTTTCTTTCAATACCAGGTCAATGAAATTAAAAACTTTTACTAAAATAAAAACTTGTTAACTAAAAAAAAAAATTATGCAAAAATGATTTAAAAAATAATTACACATGGAATTGATGATTGAATATTCTACATGTAATTAAGTGGGGAGAAATGTTGCACACTGTAGTAACTTTCTCATTATTTTAATTAGGTGGACTTCTTGATTCATTTTGCCAAGAATTGTTTAACTTCATGATTCTTTCATATCTTAAAAATTTTATCAAAATACAAAACAATAATTATATTGAACACGAAACAACATATAATAAGCAAGCTATGACTATTTTAAAAATATGTCCATGAGTGTCAACCTTGAACACTCGTTTTGTTTAAACTTGAAACTTATGCAATTCGAAATTGTCTACAACAATACCACAGCTGAACACTTCATAAAATACCTCAGTGGTACACAATGTTTTAACGACAAAAATTTTTAAACGAAATACATCAGGCCAAAGTTTGAAAAAGTAAACGTTTAAATCCTAAGATAACTTAAATTATTTTTACCTGAATTAAATACTGAACAACTTGTGACAACTATGTCTTAATGTTATTTAAGAATTTTCGTAGAGTAGACGCTGATGTAATTGCTCACATACAATAAAAACAATCATCGTAGGCGCGAAATTCGAACAGAAGACAAACGAAGTCCGAAAAAATCTGTTTGAAAGGCACCCGAACACTCAACAGATATAACGACGAACAGAAACTATCTGCGTTAGCGAATGGAAGTGGAACACGCCGCTCACGCACGCACACACACACACGCGGGAGAAACGATTACGTTTTTAATAAAAACTGTTTCATTAATGTCAAGTACAAGATTACAGCTGTAGTAGGGCGACCATGAACTAAACGAAAAAGATATGAAAATGCCTCGTAATCTAAAAAATAAAAACAAACATTTAAGAAACCCGTACGGTTTATTATATGTCTTAAACAATAACGATCCACAGAGAAGTTAATCAGTGTACGGTAAAAAAAATGTTGCAGCAAGTATGCATTTCAAATTTGAACGTTGTCGGTTTGCGAATACCTGCAGAAAGAGCGCACCCCGGGGGAATGTTTGTTAAAACGCCGATAAAAAAGTAGAACATATTGCACCACTATAATATTATAATATCAAACTTATATCAGCCACGATCCTGACCCACTTACCTCTGGTCACATGCCGATGTCCTTAATAACGTTAATTTGTTGCCATCGTCCGTCGAATCGATATTCGGTGGTATTACATTTAAAATACTAATGTGTTTAAACAATATTTATTCCAAGTAAATCTCAAGTGTAAGAACAACTGCCGTTTACCGCAAACGTAATGATTTCCTTTTACTTTCTCGTCGCCTCCCGTGTTTTAAAACGCAACGTCCGAAATTCAAATTTATTTCTTATTCACTGATGACGAAACGGACCTCTTAATGTTTCGCGAACGACTGACTAACAACAGTTGCGTGATATTAAATAAAAATATAAATACTCTTACAGAGTGTCTAACGTAAAAGAAAAAATCTAACGACGGCGGCTGCGGCTGCGGCAATACCCCGCGCAACGAATGGACAGACGCGGAATCGCAGCACTGTGTCCGTGTGTAAAACAGCAGCAGCTGCGGTTGCGAGGCCGTGTTACTAGAAACGTGTGTATGTGGGGGATAGCCGACAGTACGCGGTGGCGCGCGCGACTCATGAGGACGCGGCCTGTCTATCGCAGCGTCCACTCGTGACGTCACAACCGCGGCATAGGTAGTCAGCTGTTCTAAGTCATCGGGACTTGTGCCGACTATACAACCCTCTCTTTACACCCCGTTACCCATCTCCGTAATGGTGACTGTACCTGACTACTGTTCAACAATATTGTTTCAAATCGTCCGACGGAGGAGGAGCTAAACAATCGATACTCCGGCCGGTTCCTCCCACCACAGTATGCGTTGCTTTATTCCTTATTGTGTGCTAAATCGTATTTTCAAGTAATCTCGTTATCTTACAACGTTCGTTAAATAGAATCAGCTGTTATCGGATTTTATACATTTACAATTAATTTCACTATCGCAAAATGCAATTATCATTTTTGTCGCATGTTTTAAACTACAACAATTTTACGGGACACCTGGCCTTAAATTTGAAGGACACTCGATTACTTACTCAGTTATCACGTTTCGACTATTTTTTTTTGTTATTTAAATATTATACAAGTCCATTTATCTCTGGAAAATTTTGTTATAGCCTTCAAACAAATCTATAATGCGCACATTTATATATTAATTCAAATTTTGAGTTATTTCCTAGTTTCATAATAAAATTATCATAATGCCCAACAAAGTGTAAAATAATATTCATTGGCGAATTTTTTTTAAATAAATGAATTGCAAATCATTTTCTTTGTACATAAACAACTATACTTTAATTAAAATCTTAAAATAAAGATAGATTACACTTTCGCTTAATTGACTTTAATTATATAATATTTTATACAAAAGTTGCAGTAAGTATATTATTATGCTAAGACCCTCTAATGGAAAAAAACATTTTTTCATTTTTGAAAAACCTATTAGTTTATTACCGTATTTGAATCAAACTATTCACAACGATATGAGCGATGTAGAACGGTATAAACACAAGAAATATTATGTAGAGTAAAAAGTTTAGAAAGGTCTTTGATTTGATAAAGCTATTTTTTTTTCTGTTTTACAACCGTTAGGTTGGTTAATATCAACTGGACTGGTATATCCTCGGGAAATCTAAGTGCAGTGGTTTCCGTTGCCTTCTGCACTTAGCTATTATACCAAACTGATTTACATGGAGCAATAAGTTTATTAAAAACAATCAATTATTTTTATTTGAAAAATACGGTTAAAATATGCAGACATTTCTTTGTTATTAATGGAGATATTTTTAAATATCTTTGATCAATTCCTTTATTTTTAATAAAAAATCGTAAGAAGCGTTATAGTAGAACGTTTGGTTTGAACTTATTATCAAAGTTTTGTTGGCCTTTTTTTATTGCTATGTTATGAAAAATTGATTAATACTCAATATAATAACTTCTCCTATTATTCCTATTTTGATATAACAAAATGTTTAAATTATTTTATTACATTCGATATTAGAAATCACTGCACTGATGTAAGTATAAAGGTGGGTATGGGATATATTTCTCCATGATAAAATTAATTATATGGCAAAGATATAATTTTCTTTTGTTTGTAGAGATATTGAAAAATTGTATTGTATATATTTCCCCAAGATGAAATCCTAATTAAGTCACTAATTCACTGTATTTGTGTATTATAAATGAGTTGGATTATATTTATTAGATCTAATTTAGGTATATATATATATTTATAGGAATCATTTTTGTTAATTATAATTTAAAACATATTTTGAAACATGCAGGTGATAAATTTTGAAATTAAAGAACGTTTTTAGATTGATTAAAAAATGTTTATAAACTAGATTGCCGAATAATTTAATTTAAGTATAATGCGAATCTGCGAATTATAACTTGATATGAACACAAATCAATTTTTTTTATCATATATTTTATAACAATAAAATCTTGTTATGTGACACACTTATGCTTTAGAATTTATGAATTTACTTATTATTTTTTATTTATAGTAGTACGAAAAAATGAGCAAATTTATAATGCTAATATTTATTTAAAAATAAAGTGAAATTAATAATAATTTAATTATTTTGACATGCATATTAAAACAATTGTTTTTTTCCCATGGAATAAACAATGAATTAAAATCTTCCTGACAACGCTACTTCAGTGAGGTTTGTAACGATTGGTTCATTTGATTTATGTTTAAAGTTATAGCCTATAGTTACACTATGGACGTCCGCGAGGATACAAAAAAAGAATATTTGCAACTTTTTTTTTAACATTAGATTGAACATTAGAACATTATAAAATTTTTTTATTTTAATTAAACTTGATTATGAACGTGAGAATAACAGCGGTATTCTTAAAGATTTATGACACGAACGATTTATAATTTTGAAAATGAATGTTGTCGAGTGTAACTTTTAACTAATATTTTATATAACTCACATTTAATTTTTAGATTTTCTACTAATATAATAGAAAACATGTGACCACACTTGATCATTAATCGTAGGCGCGGGCATTATAATTTACTAATTATAGGGAAATTCTTCAATTTATAAAGTGATAATTTGTTGATTGGATTGGTTTTGTAGAATTCGACTCGTATAACACAACCGAACTATTAATTTAGCTTGGATGCAAAAAAATTCCCAATAAAATGCATTTTTAATGCGTCAAATATACTTATTGATAAATTATTTATATTTTTTTGTTACTATAACATAATTTTTGTTAAAAAAATGAAGCATTTGACAAACAAATTATATTTTGTAAAATCAAAAAAAAAAAATCATTTTAAAAGTAAAAAAATACTATCCTTTGACAAAAAAATATCGGATATATTTTTTTGATAAAATGTTTTATTAAATTACTTAGGTACTATACTTCTTGTATTATCAGAACATTTTCATAACTATTAAGTATGCAAAATTCTTAAATATATTTACGTCTAGGCGACAAAAGTGTACCCGAACGATTTCAGATTTTAATCCCATAAATTGAGAAACCAATAAATATTAAAAACATTTTAAATCTATAACTATTGAAAAATAAAATATTTGTGGAAAAAAAGTACACAAAAATAGTTGACAATACAGTGAAAACTAGGGATTATAACCTATATAGGCCTTGGGGAGGTATCTTGAGATTGGCTCTCTACGGAAAATATTATTATCATATAAAGTGAATAATAATGGTTTTATGAATTATATACGTTGATGTGTTAACATTCGTGATAACAAGAATTTATCAATAAAAATTAGATAACAGTGTACTACACATGGTTAAAACTAATCTCTATTACTCAGTAGTTAAATTTAATACAGAATATTTTTTATTATTTAACATAGTAAGTTACTTTTGAATAGTTATTTTTATTTATCACAGCAAATCTAATTGAGCAATTTACACATTCTAATAATTGTGTTAATAACCGATGCTCTGTTGCATGCATAGATATAATATATATATATCTGTGATTGGATGGCTGATTTTAATGATAATTGCTCAATTCTGTTCCAATTCTTTTTTATTGCAATAAAAGACATAACCCAACTAATCAATAGAAATAGAAATTATCTATTATTTGTGCAATATATTCCTTATAATTAAAATTATAAAATGAATAAACTAGTAAATTATTTATGTTATCATACTTCAGAGTTGAGATTGTAAAGTGTTAATTCTTGTATAATCAGCCAAAAATAGTATGATAAAGGATATATTTTATATTATCTTCAGTTAATATAGTTAATTATTAGATCTAGTTCATTTAATTTTTAACAATATAAATTAAATATTTATTTATTATATAATTTTTTAGGTGTATTTATTTCTTACAATATGGGATCAAACACAAGACCTATCAATATTTCTAATGGGTTAGTAAAATTCAAAATTTATTTTAATTTATTCAAATTATATGTTGGTTTTATCATTAAAATAATCTTCATGAGTAATTAAATTACTTTAAAAACTTTTATAAATAAATTTTATTTATAAAAGTTCAAAAAAAAAATGTTGTTTATGTCATCTCATATTCTTTCTTTTTTATTAAACTGTAATATTATAATTTTTTTTCTTAGTGATGAAAATGTAAAATCTAAAAATCAATTGAAGAAGGAAGAAAAACAATTAGCAAAGGCTGAGAAAAAAGGTCAAATTAAAGCACAAAATGTTAGTTTGGTTATTGTTATTAATTTAAATATTATAAATGAGTACATGATTTGGAAATTTAATAAAACTAACATGTTATACATTCTTATCACTAATATGAAATATGTTAATGGTAAGAAGTTGGTGGATAAGGAATTTGTAGCTTCACGTATATAAAATAATTGTGTGTGTCATATTAAAATATTTACATTTTTAAGCAAGAATTAATCAGGTAATAATTTTGACAGAAAAATATGATTAAGGTAAAGTAATAAATATATAATTCTGTTTGTTAAAAATTCTAAAAACTCATTTTTGGGTTTTAATTTTATAATATAAAGCTGTAATATGTTTTAATGTTTGATTTATCATCTACTTATAAATAAAATGTAGGAGAAAAAAAATTTGTAAAATAGTTTCTGATTGATTATTTTTTACATAGATTGTTAAATTGTTTTTATTCAAATTTTATTATTTTTAAAGCAATTAATTAAAATTTGAAAAAAATTTGATTTTCACAATAGGGTTACAAAATAACAGTTAAAAATTATAATTATAATTTTATAATTATCATTTTGTTATAATCAAGTTTAAAAGCCTTAAAAATAGGTTAAATTTTTTGCAAAAGTCCTAAATTTAGCATAACTTTTATAATATAATTATATAAAATTTGGAAAGTTATAAGAAAAAACAATTTTTTTATGAATTTTTAACCATGTAAATAATTTAATTACACAATGTATAATAGATAGATTCATCTAAATATTGTAAATCATAGGCTTTATTATTTTTGTGGTTCTGTGTAATTATAAAAGACAGAAACGTCCTTAGAAATACCAAAATAAGATATTATGTTTACTGACTAGAGACAAAATTGCTAAGGTTGTATATTTTATTAGAGATATACCATACTCTTACATTCTCCAACTCAACCTAAAAAAAGACTACCTCTGATAAGTAGTAACTATAATTTTATGGTAAAATATATTGAAAAATCAAAATTTTGCATCACCTTGATTAATTTTAGAAATCTATAAAAGATATAATAATGAGTAAGGTTCAAGTTTTTATTTTTGAATGTAAACACATGGTTTAATGTTTACTTGAAGGTTCCAGGTTAAAACCTCCTAGAACTGTAAAAATACTGAAGTTTTGGTGGAATTAGGAACTTATATTCTTGTGTAAAATACATAAATATAAAATACAAATATAAATTATTAATTTATCAGTTACTTTACATTTCTTTAATAAGCTGAAGTAAAAATGATTATTTTGATCAAAAAGTTTGATTAATTACATTATTAAGATAATATTTTATTATTTAATAGGTAATAGATAATAAACTTAAATATCATATTATTCAGTTTGTAAACAAAGTAATACTTCATACTTAATAAAATACACAATAATTGTTCTACTTTTTCTTTTTATTAAAATGTATATTTAATCAAACATTTGTTTTATTTAATAATATCATAGTTGTAATAATGTTTTAAAGAATAAATTATGATAATATTGGCATTTATTACAAAAATATGTCAAATAAAAGATTTGTATTATTTTTTTATACACTAATGGAATTTGTAAAGAAATTTAAATATTAATAAATTGTTATTTTACTAAGTACTATTTTAAAAAAATATAAAATTAAAAAATATTATGTATTATATGGAAAGTTTTTTTTAGTTTTTTCAATTTCAGAAATTTTGTACTTAACAAGTTTTTAAATAATAAATTGATAATTTATTTTTAGAAAATGACAAACTAATAACTAGTTTACTTGAATATTCATATATTTAATTAATTTTTTCCATTTTATTTTTATTTCAAGTAAATTAATAATTTGTAAGGAGCAATAATTTTATTTTCTAGGTTTCTGTTGATGTAGAACAAGACATTTCTGATATATCTAAAGGAAAATATGGGATTTTGGCAATGATACAAAGTTCTGAAATATCTAGCAAAACTTTTGTAGATATTAAAAATTTGACAACAGCTTTAGCCAACAATAGTGTTTGGTTACGATGTAGACTACATACAAGTCGTGCAAAAGGTAATTAAGTACTTGTTACCTTCATATAGAAAAAAAGAAAACGACTATAACATTTATTTTTTGAAGGTAAACAATGCTTTATGGTAGTTAGACAGCAACAATGGTCTGTTCAAATACTGTCTGTAGTTTCTGATACTATAAGTAAACAGTTTGTAAAGTTTTGCTCAAAGTAAGAAGATTTAATATATCATTACTGATTGGAAAACAATATGTAACTTTCATTTGATAAATTTTTCATGAGTCACTAAAAACTGTTTAATAAATGATTAAATAATTGTTGATTAATCAATTTATTATAAAAAATTTTCATGTGAAATGTAAAATATTGGGTGAAAATGAGAAAAATTTTCTCATTTGTGACAATAATTTAAAATGATTGTCACTCACTATAGAATTTAAAATCATATGTGTGATATTATTAAATTAATATTTTAGGGAAAAATAAATTATAATACATTTAAAATAATCTATATAAAATTATATTTTTCTTAAAAATTCATATTTAATGATACTAAAATGTCAGGTATAAGTTTTTTCTAATCAATAGTAACACTTAAAACAATTTTGTTAATATTTTGTTGTATAAATTAGTATAAGTAAGGAGTCTATTATGGATATCAAAGGAAAAGTTATGATTACACCTTCCCAAATTGATTCATGTACACAAAAAGATGTTGAATTACATGTTGAAGAACTATGGGTTGTCAGTCAAGCTGCAAATCAGTTGCCTCTTCTTATTGAAGATGCTTCTAGACCTGTAAAAGCAGATGATGTAAATTATATATTTTTAATTAAATAAATAAGTACATACAAATAAATTACTATAAAAATAATTAAAAATATTTCATTAATATTTATTTAGGACCAAGATGGATTAAATATAAAGGTTAATCAAGATACAAGATTAGATAATAGAGTAATTGATTTACGTACACCTGCTAACCAAGCTATCTTCCGTTTAGAAGCTGCTGTTTGTAAACTATTTCGAGATATATTAACAGATAAAGTATATATTATTAACTTTATTTATTCAGTACAGAAAAATTCTAAATTTAATTTTTTTCAACAGGGCTTTGTAGAAATACATACTCCAAAATTAATAAATGCACCTAGTGAAGGAGGAGCAAATGTTTTTACAGTATCATATTTCAAAGGATCTGCTTATCTTGCCCAATCACCACAATTTTATAAACAAATGGCAATTGCTGCTGACTTTGACAAAGTTTTTACTGTTGGTGCAGGTACTAAAAATGTCATAATTATACATATTATATGGAGTGTTCAGGAAATAAGGAAACGGATTTCTATTCTCATTGTAATAATTTACCTGTATCCTTACTTACTGAATACTCTGTATTGAATATTTTGTCAAAAATTTATAATTTATAAAATTATGTTTATATATTAAAAAAACATATTGATACATATAGTTGCTTACATTTTTGTAAGTATTCATAATCAGGAAAGATATTTTATATTAAGGTTATTTAATTATTTAAATTTCCAGTAATTTCATTTTTTTTTTTTTGCGTGTGTACATTCTGTAAATAATTTAAAAATTTTTTGCTAAAACAATTAAATATTTATTTCTACTTGACTAATGAGTATTTGATTTTCAGTTTTTAGAGCTGAAGACAGTAATACACATAGACATTTAACTGAATTTGTTGGCTTAGACATGGAAATGGCATTTAAATATCATTACCATGAAGTGGTTGATGTTATTGGTTCAACATTTACACAAATGTTTAAAGGACTTAGAGACAAGTAAAGTGTCATATATATATATTAATACAAATATTTTTATATAGAATATTAATTGTTTAAAAAATAATTTTAGTTTTAGATATTTAAATGTAAAAATTAATTTTATATTTAGAATCTATGACAAAATAGGAAATTAATAAATTATATAAAAATATTATCTTTAAATGTGTAAAATAACAATTTTTATGAGGATAGAAAAATGTTTAAATACAAAATAGATTTTCACTTATGATTAACTTTTTTCTTATTAAAAATTCATCTTATTATTTATAGAGTTATATTTATAATAATCATTAAAACTTATTAAAATAAATAAAAACAATGTTCACTATTTTATTATTACGTTGCATCAAGTAGAGTAGCAATTCTCTAAAACCTGATTGTTTGAAAATTAAAAATCACATAAAGTTTAATGGCAAAGTAAGTTTTATTTTCAATCTACAGAATATGATGTAATACATATTAATAGTGAAAGAAGGTCTGAACACCAAATTTTTTATTATTGATTATATTGATCTTATATTAACATTTGATTTAAGTTTTTTCAATTAAATTAAAATTTAAAGAAACTTTATTTCATTTTCATTGCTGCTAATAATAAATTACTTGTAAAAATTGTATTTTTTTTTTTAGTTATAAAAAGGAAATTGATGATGTTTGTCAACAGTATCAGGTGGAGCCATTTAAATTTTTAGATCCACCTCTAAAACTTGAGTTTCCTACAGCAATTAACATGCTTCGTGAAGCAGGTATTGATGTTGGTTATGAAGATGATTTATCAACTCCTAATGAAAAATTACTTGGACGATTAATCAAAGCTAAAGTATGTTTTTTCTTTTTTTATATTTATACTTTGTCCAAATGTTTATTTTCAAACTAAAGTGGTAATTCTTTTTTAGTATGACACAGATTTTTACATATTAGATAAATATCCACTTGCTGTACGACCATTTTATACTATGCCTGATCCTGACTCTGAAGTAAGTTTTACCTGTTGTAAAAATAATTATTCTATTTATCATACTTGAATTACTAATTTTATACAGTATTTTATTTATAAATTTATATTTATTAGTTTTCTTTAAACTGTGTACAATATTAATTTTTTAAAACTTATAAATAATTTTAGAATGTTGAGATTTTTTAATACATTTTATATTTATACTATAGGATTGATTAAATTATTTTTAGCAACATATCTTTAGTTAAATTTTAATTTCTTATTAATTATGATCATATTTTTGGTAAAAGCGAGACATTAGTGCTATGAGAATAAAAAGTAATAATCTTATATTTATGTAACCTCCATCTACTTGAATAAAATGTGACATTAATAGTTAAATGGGTTTATTCATACTTTTATTATTTTAATGTACATAAAATTCATGAAATAAACATGTTACTAACTATGTAGAGCATTATTTAACTATTGCCAAAATAGATGTTAATTTTATCTCAAACAGATTGCATCAAATTCTTATGATATGTTTATGAGAGGTGAAGAAATTTTATCTGGTGCTCAAAGAATACATGATCCTAATTATTTAACAGAAAGAGTTAAGCATCATGGTGTTGGTATGACAAAATATTTGTTTTTAGCTTTATTATTTTAGTTTTTCAATAAAATTTTGTTTTAGATGTTGGAAAAATTGCAGCTTACATAGATGCTTTCCGTTATGGCTGTCCACCACATGCTGGAGGCGGGATTGGTTTAGAAAGAGTTGTTATGTTGTATTTAGGTTTGGACAACATAAGAAAAACTTCAATGTTTCCAAGAGACCCAAAAAGGCTAACACCATAATTCACTTTTTATTTGAAGTTAATTTTACAATTTTTCTTAATCTTGTAAAATATTAATTGTTGATATTCTTCTTAATATAAAACTTTAATTATTTAACATTAATTTATTTTCAACATAATCTTTTCTTTGAAAAATATAATACAATAGATGCAAACATATTTTTTTGCCATATGTTATATTTTATTAAAAGATCTTATACACTATGAAACATTATATTATTTTATAACTAGTTGAAATAAGTCTTAAGCCTAATTAACAATGTACCATAAGAAAAGCAAGTGAATATGTCAGTTAGGGTTGAGGCACTAAGTATATATATATATATATATATACATTTTTTTTTGTAGCTTTCAATAGATAAGATTGCAGTTTGTAGAAATAGTGCAACAAGTTTTGAGGGCTATGAGAATCGATCTCGGGATTGTGAGATGCAAGAATTAATTGAAAGATTTATCCAATAGGTATTTTTATGAAATGTAGGTCTTGCAATAAAAAAATTGATCAATTTTGTAATAGATTGATGTTAAATGATCTTCCTTTTTTTGTTTTTGATTTATATGTCATTTATATATATACATATTAATTTTTTGAATCTGGCCTAAGATTTATTACATATACTTTATGATATTTTATTAGTAACAATAAATTATAAAAATTTTGAATTAATAACATATATTATCGACTTGGAGGGAAACTAATTAACCGTTTTTTTTTTACTTTTAATTTTTACACCATTTGTTGTAAAAATATGAGATCTTACATTTTTTAAGATAGACTAAAATATGGTATTTTAAACTTTGAAACCATTTTTATTATAAGATAGTTTTATAATTATAAATTAGTAATTATAATGATTAAAAAATTTTAAAAATGGCGTTTGTGAGTTTCCTGGACACGCCCGTGATAAATTTGCATTTTAAATAGATTTTATGATGTTTAAATATGGAATTTATGTCAATTTTACAAAATTTTCTAGGCGCACATAGTTAAATTTTTATTTATTTAATTTACGTATGGCGCCAAAAAATATCGTTTACTCCATGCGCATATAATATTTTCAGGTTATGTTCCAGTCTTTCAATTGTGTGTTATAAATCGAAAGAATACCACTTCCCTTCTCTTCTACCACATGTGTATTGAAAAATAATTAAAAATTTTTTTAATAATGATTGAAACTAAAGAAAAAATATATAAATACACTTGAATTAAAAAAAAAACATTTTTCGACAAATTTTTTTATCTGTGTTGTAGTTCAATTGCAATGAATGCATACAGAGTTGAATATGAAATACGCAATTAACTGACGTCAGAGTCACGTTTTCGACATTGTCCGATGGTTTGCGCGGGCCGTGGTGGTGTCGACGTTGTTGACTGGGTATGAGTAGAAGGGTCCCGAACTATTCCGATTGGGTCAATGTCTGGTGCGTCTGATGTTTTCCAAAATGGAGTTGTGATTAAAATAAAGTTAAAGAAGTTCTGATCATATATTTAAACTCGCGATTATGGGCTTATGTTTAATATAATATTATAAATGTATAATATTAATGTAAAACAAATTATTTTATGATTAATGTTTCCATTCTTATGATAATCATTCTTTAATGTACCACCACTACCCTTGTCAGGTAACATAGTATGTGGGCCGTGAACCAGCCTAGATAGGCGTATCATAAATATATTGTTTTTTATCAATAAGTACGAGTAATAAATCACGTTTCTTTTTTTGTTTCTGCGGATCATTCCTTTTTTTTGCCTTATAACTTTTTACTGTAAACTTTATTTTATACCGAATTATGTAAACCCAAGTGTCGACGTTTTAATCGACGATATAGTGTTGAGTGTAAATTGTTTTTGGTCTCTACTGACGTTTTGTGGACATGAGTGGAAGGCCTAGGACCACTTCATTTGCTGAGGGCAACAAAACGTCTCCAAATCCTCCTTTGGGAGGAATCAAAGTTATAAGTACGTGCTAATTATTTAAAAAAAATATGATTATAATTGCAAGAATAAAAAATTTGTATGGCCTATTTTAAATTAAATTGATTTAATAACTTTTTTTATTACTAGGGTGTTTTTTAACGTTACGAATCAGTGTTATTACTGCATAAAATATTTTATGATGTTGTAATTGTTTAGACTGTACCTTCAAATGAACCAACTTTGGGCAGTTAAATATCTATTATAGTAGATTTTTATATTTCTATAATATATCTACAGCTCTAATTAAATGTTAACAAGTATTTTAAGAAACAATATATTTGTGCTCAAAAATTAAGTGATAAAGTCTGAAAAATATTTAACTGCCCTAAATTTAATCACGAACCCAAGTTGGCCCATTTGATGGTATTTAGTTTTAAAAATGTTTGACATAAATTAATATTCAAGCTTATTAATGCATCCAATGTTATTAAAAATAAACGCCATTATAATACTTTACTGAAATTGAAAATCTTTAATTGTTTGTTACTTATTTAATATTACATGGATTTTTATTTGATAGCATAAATATGTACCTAATTAATTTTTAATTAATAATTTGCTGTTTTACAAAATCATTGCCTAATTTTATAATTTTTTAGTAAATTTTAAATAATAAAAATATTTAAAAAGAATGAGAAAGTAAATTTAAAATTTTAAGAGTAGTAAAAAACTCTAAATTGTATCAATTTTCCTTTTAAAATTAAATTAATAATTTTGAGTATCCTTATGTGTGTGTTGAATAAAAAAAAAATCTAAAAAAATATTTTTTTTAAATAAGTTTTTTAATTTGTATTAAACATTTTTATTTAGTTTATTTTCAATATAATACAGAAGCCTAATGTTTTTTTATGATTTAACAAAGTTTCTTAGCTAGGTTTAATCTTTAATATTACTAATAGTATTAAAGATTATTCAAAGTTAGCAATTAGCATTTAGAATTAATTAGTAAATAGAAAAATATTCTTTAAAAACCATTAGTGTTACTTTGTAAAGTCAGGAATATTAATGGAATATTGGTTTCTAATGTATTTAACTTAATTTATATGCTTAAGGATAAATTTTCAATGATTATGAATCTAATTTTTTAATTAAAATAACTAATGTTTCTTATTTGTATTGTGTTTCATCATTTTTTTTTTAATCAATAACCTTTTTAATTTTAAAATACCCCAATTGATTTAAGTAATTGTGCCAAGTTGATTTTGAAATAATTAAGATATTTTTTATAAGTCAATGCCAATGATTTGGCTTGCCTTAATTCATAGTTTAGTAGTAATGGATTTGCATCTTCCAAGTAATGATAAGGATGATGAGATTCCTATTTGGAATCCTTCTATATTTGCTAATGCTGAAAAACTTAGACTAAAAGGTATTTTTTTTTTTTTTTTATTAAAATTTTTAAGTTTCAAATTTTTGTTTTCAAACAATCATCTTAAGTAATAAATATAGATAATCTCGCTTAAAAATATGATATATATCAACTAAAACATTAATGTTGGTGAGATACTTTATAAGTACATTTTGTTATTAATATTAAGACCAATCATTATAAAAGTTTGACTATTAACTATAATCATTCATAAAAACTATAAAAAGTTATTTTGTTTTATTTTTTTAGTTTACTTTAATAAATTTATTAATATATTTCAGGGAATTAGGTTTCTATTTTTATCTGAACTCTACGTCAATTAGTTATATTACTTAAATAATTTACTTGACTTTTTGAATTTGTTCCAAACAAATAATTTAAAAAAAATATCTTAATGCAAATTGCACTGAGAAAAAATGAGTTTTGTTACACTTCAACATTATTTTACATCTATTTGAAAAATTTATGTATATCCTATAGTAAAATGATATTTATAAAAAGTAATTTTTTGTATCAAATAATAAGTTCAAAATAATTTAATTGAATATTATTTGTTCTTTAATGTTTAATAATGGAATATTATTTAATTGTAATTTAATGTAATTAATGAAATTGTTAACTTTTCAACTGTAACTATGTACTTTTCAAGTATTTAAAAACAAAAAAATAAAACATTTAAAAAAAAAATTTAGTAAATTTTATTCTTTAAAACTGTTCAGTTAAGTAAAAATTACAAATATTGAATTAATGAATTTGAATTCCTATATTATAAATGCTTCATGTAAGTGATAGATTTTGGATCGACTTTCCAAAGGTATAGGTATTAATAACAAAAAAATTATCATTTTTATTTTAAAAATTTTAATTTGATAGATTTCTTGTTAAATTATATCCTATTTTATCTGTAATTTTACCTTACATTTGAAAACAAAATTGATTTTGGAGTTCTAACTATGAATTGTTATTTTAAGTTAAAATTAAAATTTCATGTTGCCACCTTAGCCATAATCTTAGTAGTATTATATAAATTAAGTTAATTGAAAAGCTATAACATTAATATTGTAATTCATAATTCTTTAGTTGTTAAAAGTTAATGAATGTAAAAATATCCATATTTCACGTACCTTGGATTTCATTATTTTTTTTATAATTTTTAATAGATAGTATTACTATCTTTTATTACTTTATACTAAAAGTATTGCTAAAATTTATTACTAATAATATTTTATTACTGTTATTATTTTTAAAGTGCAGTTAGTAGAAATAATACAATAAGTTTTGAAAATATATGAGAATTGATCCCAAGATGGAAGGGTACATGGAAATTTTTTTTTCTTAATAAATTTTAAACTGATACCAATGAAAATGTTTTTATTTCATTTTAATTAATACTATTAAAATTTGTGTATTTTCTGTATATGTATATAATATAATTTTAATAATAATAACTTATTTTAGGCAAAGATGGAAGTAAAGTCACAACGGTTGTGGCTAATCCATGCCAGGGACCTGACCGACCTTTGGAAGTATCCTATACAGATACAATGGTCATAGGGAATGGCAGTTTTGGGGTTGTATATCAAGCTAAATTGTGTGATACAGGGGAGATGGTGGCTATTAAAAAAGTACTACAAGATAAAAGATTTAAGGTTTGTAGTAATAAAAATATTTTTATTATAATTATATATTGAATATATAGTTCTATATATTCCTTTATTTAGAATCGTGAATTGCAAATTATGAAACGCCTAGATCATTGTAACATAGTTAAATTGAAATTTTTCTTTTATTCGAGCGGTGACAAGGTAAGATATTTGATAATTAAAAATAATTATATAATAATTTCTTAATCAAGTAATTTATTTTTACTTTCAAATTTAATTTTTAGAAAGATGAAGTTTACCTAAATTTAGTTTTGGAATACATACCAGACACTGTTTATAAAGTCGCACGCCATTATAGTAAATTAAGACAAACAATCCCAATCAGTTACATAAAAGTATGCAGCATTAATTATTTAATAATATTTAGGTTACTAATTTTTTTTTTTTTTTCTAGTTGTATATGTATCAGTTATTCCGAAGCTTGGCTTATATTCATTCTTTAGGCATTTGTCATCGTGATATAAAACCTCAAAATTTATTACTGAACCCTGAGACTGGTATATTAAAATTATGTGATTTTGGCAGTGCTAAAACATTAATAAAAGGAGAACCAAATGTGTCCTATATTTGTTCAAGATATTATCGAGCACCTGAACTTATATTTGGTGCTATTGATTACACTACAAAAATAGGTTATTGTTTAGGTTTATTAAATTATTATGTCCTTAGAATATTTTTGATAACTTTTTTTTTAACTATTAGTTATTTATTTTATTTTAAATATCCAAATCAATATACTTTTTTCTTTAAAAGTAAATTTTTAGATATTTTTTGTAAGTATTAATAAAATTAATGGTTTAATTAATTTTTTTGGTGCATTTAATTATAATACTCAAATATCACATTAATAAAATATTTAATTTGACTAGTTTCTGAGTTCAATTTAATTCATCTGAAAATAATTTTCATTATAATTTTTAGATGTTTGGAGTGCTGGTTGTGTATTAGCTGAACTAATGTTGGGCCAGCCGATATTCCCTGGTGATTCTGGAGTTGATCAGTTAGTAGAAATAATTAAAGTCTTAGGTACTCCTACTAGAGAGCAGATTAGGGAAATGAATCCTAATTACACAGAATTCAAATTCCCACAAATCAAATCTCATCCGTGGTCAAAAGTAAGTTTTTATTAGACAATTATCAGTTATTTGGTAACAATATTAATGATGATCCACATATAGTGGATTAAATTATTTTTACACATTAAGATAATTAGAATCTAAAATTTATTTTTTTTGCATGTAATTAATAAAATAGTTGAAATGGGTTAATAGAGCAATTTTTTCTATAAAGCTAACAGTAAAGTAACTAACTATAATGTGATTTTTGTTTATACTCATTTTATGTAGAATAATTAATTTTTTGCAATTTTGATGTTTGACTAATTATTAGTTTTTAATTAATATTAAATTTAAAGCCTATACATTTAATTATAAATTGCATGTTATTCAAACTTCTTTTAAAAAAATTGAAATCCAACACAATAAATTGCATGGTAATTTATTGTGATTTATTATTAATATAATTTATACTACTTTAGAAATTGATTTTTTCAAACTTACAATAGTATACTTAAAATTTAAAGTACTAGGAAATAATTGTTTTGAAATAAAAATATTTAATGATGACATTAGCAGTACCTATTATGTAGATCTTTAATAAATTTTGTGTGGTTTATTTTAATTTATTAGCGGTTGGTTTAAGAAAAATTTACATTGAGTACATTGGGGATCACTCTTTCTAATATGTATACCACAAAAAATTTAAAAAAATTATTTTTAACCATTTCTAAAATTTTAGTTGGGACCTCCGGTGTAAATAATAAATAAAAATTTGATCTGCTATTCTTAAAAGTAAGAATTCAATTGATACACTTTATCAAATCTAGAACATTAAATCATAGGTATGTAGTCGTTTACACGGTAATAATTTTTTGTTAATGTATAGCCAAATCTCTATAACTATTTATTGAATTAATCTTATATGTGCTTACAAATTTAAATTTAAAAGAAAAATATTTAAAAGATGAACTGCTCTTTTACTTTTTTTATATAATTTTAAATAATTTTCTTTTGCTTATCTTGCTATAGTTATTTAATCTAAAATAATGAACTATATTTTAAGTTAATTAAAATTTTGTTAGCACATATAAAAATTTTTTTATGGATAACTATTTGTCTATTGCTTAATAATATGAGCTTTGTATAACATTCTACATTGTATGAGCTGTATATTTGATCTAATTAGTGTAATTTATTTTTAATATTTTATCCACTACAAAAGTAATAATGTAATTGTTTGATTTTTTTTTTTAATTAATTGCTTAAGTTTATTTTTATTCTTAAGTATTAATTTCTGGCTAATTGTGTATCGAACAAAATATCAAGTTGATATTTTGAATTGCTAGTACAATGTAGTAAATTTAAAATAAAGGTATAAATTATGTATAAGTATAAAAAGTTTCAATTTATAACTAATGTAATATTTGCTGCATAAGAAATTGACATATTGTCAAATTTTAAGAAAAAGTAATGATATATTTGTAGTGCTGTTTATTTTGAGTCTAAAATATTAATATTTTTATCAAGACATGTTGGAGGATATCTTAAATCAATATTTTAATAGGGTTATTATTCCTTGCAGTTAATGCTACAACGCATGTCATTCCCAAAAAACAGCAATGTTCATCAAAAAATTAGAGTAAGTCTATAAATGGCTACAAAAAAGTGTGGACTGCTAACATGTTTTTATTGTTTAATTTATAACAAATTGACATGCTCTTCATAGAAAAAGAGTTCAGTCTTATTAAATGATTACTAGATTTATTGTAAATCAATGTGAATTGTTCAGTAATTTCTCAACCTCATTAATTTGTGACAAAAATATTATTTACAAATGTAATAAGAGCTCTAACATGTCTTGTGACTTTTGATATTCTATAAAATATAATCAGCAACTTCATAATGAAAAGTTATATTTTTGCTATGTTAGCATTTGTAGAAATTATTATATTTTTAAGTAGAAGTTCTGTGTGTTAATATTAAGTCATGATTTACAAAGGTGTTTCGGATGCGCACACCACCTGAAGCTGTTGAACTAGTTTCAGTACTGCTTGAATACACTCCATCTTTAAGGGTGTCACCTTTACAAGCATGTGCTCATACTTTTTTTGATGAACTGAGGGATCCACACACAAGATTACCAAATGGACGGTCTTTACCTCCTCTCTTTAATTTTACACAATTGGGTAAGACTTGTAAAAATATACTTTTTAAAATTGCTTATGAAAAATAATATTTTTTAGAATTAAGTGCAGCTGGTTCTTTAAAATCTGTTTTAATACCTAAACATTTAAGAGATTCTGTTGGAAGTGGAAATGAAGTGTCTGCAGCTAGTGTTGGGTCATCAACTCCTGAAAATATTAATCCTGAGAGCCCAAATCACCCGTCTTCATCAACAACTTCTAGACAATCTTCTAATGAAATAGTTTGAAAGTAATGGTTATTTTCTTATTTTACTGTGTTCAATTTGTTAAATAGACAAATTATGTATTTAAGACTTAAAATTATAAGAGGAGTACCACAAGAATCATATATAGTCCCTATTCATTATTCTATGATGCTCTTAGTAATAATATAAAAAATTACGGTATTGTTAAGTCTCATGAAGATTGTGTTCTTCTACAACAGAATTTAAATTCCCTTTCTAACTGGTGAAAATTAAATTGTTTATTCCCTAAGTGTAAATTTATTTCTTATAATTGAATGAGTATTGCTTAATTAATAAATTTTATTGTTAATAACAATTTTAAGTATAGACTAGAGGTGAAGATTGGGTGCTGCTATTTTTATGATTAGATATTTCCTGGCTGTACTCTTGCTCTTACTTAGATATAAATTTGTGAATATCTTCCAAAATACTGGTTCAAAAGTTGTTATCAACTAGACATTTTCTTAATTAGATCATTATCTATTAAACAATCTAGTTTATATATGAGTGTTTTGATATTTGAAAAATTAATGTTGATATCCTTGTAAGGTATATGAGATGAATATAAAAACAACTATAATTGAAACATTGAACTAAAAGAAACTAATAAAAACATTATTTTTATTTTACGGTCAATTAAGTTCATACTAAGTAAACCCCATTTATACAGGTGAGTTACAAATTCCAATAACAATTGATCCAATAATTATTTCACTGTAATTTTTATTAAGCAATTTTTGAATTTTTAGACTGTTATAAGCATATTTTTTATCATTTCTCTCTCATAAGAATAAAAATATAATTTTTTTCAAAATGGCAATTTTGTAGACTTTTTCTTATATAAAATTTTTATAAGTTAATAACAATTTTAAGATGAGTACTTATTGAGTTACAAATATTATATAATATGTATATGGTATTATATGCCATATACTTATTCTAATTTATTTGAAGGCAGCCTACTTAGTTTAGTCTGGAATATGGTGAGTCTTGGTGAGTAGGTGATTTAATTTTGTTGTGATGGTATATAGGTTTTCCCATCTTCTTTAATGTAAGCAATGATTTTCAAAGAGAATAGTTAGGTATTAATTATAATATAAATATTAATTGTAATGTGAAAAAAGACTATATTTAGAAGGTATTAGCTAAAGTTAAAAAATAACAATCTCTATTTAAACTTAAATTTTATAACATTTTAAACTACTCAGTTAAATAAATTTTTACCAAATAGTTTTAAGTGTCACTGAATAGTATACGAATATTCAGCTCATTTTTAATTAATACATTGAATGAGTAAGTAATGCAATTCTATACAAAGTGTACGGTTAATGTACAGTCTGTCCATGCTACGTACCCACTATGTATTAAGATGATTGTAACTCAATATCCTCAAACTGTTATAGATCCAACAAAATATTTTTGTAAGAAAAGGGCTAAAACCAGACATATTGAAAAATTCAAAAAAATAATTTTTTATTTTAAAAGTTTTTTATTAAAGTGAAATAATACAAAATATGCTTTTTACAGTCTAAAAATGTAAAAATTGTTAAAAAAAAAAAAAAAAGTAGTGAAAACGGTTATTTAATCAAGAGTTATTGGATTAATCAAACTTACATGACTCATTTTGTAAATACAAACATATAAAGAACTCTATTTATTTTGAATTTGTGTATTATTTTTAAGTAATTAAAAAAATTATAATGCATAATGATAGGAGTTTATGGTAGAATTAAAATTATTTTTTATTGTATTCTTATTTTCATACCAAGTAAATTCTTATGAGGACAACTTGAATATCCATTTATATTATTATAATTTATTTATTGTTTTAATATTTTGAAAATTTCATTTTTACATTCTTATGTCAAAAAATGAATAATATATTTTTTTACTATGGAATTCCATGTATTTAATAAGATAAAATAATAATTAAAAATGTAAAAAAAATGTTTAACCCTGTAGATTTTAGATGTACATAATCTGTAAATATTCATGTTTAAAATTAATATTTGGTAAGCTCATTAAGAGAAATATTTTATTATTATTGATTAAAAATAATAATAGATATTTACACAACAAACTATTGCTGTATGGCTGTAATAACATTTATTTTAAATATTAGATCATTAAATGCTTATTGAATGGGAAGTTCAGTTAGGAGTTTTTTATAGTTTTAAAATTAAATGTCATTTAAAAGAATACATGCTATTTTAGCTTAAATGCAAAGCTAAGAAAGTATTAATTTTACTGTGTTTTTTAAAAAGAAATTTTTTTTGTGTCTGTTACCACTTTTTCTTAGATCTCACCGAACCGATTTCTTTTAACGATATGTCAAAAGATCACAATCAATCTAGTCTAAGACATTACTGTCAAAAATTGAAAAAAATTTCCTAGTTCCCCATAAATTGGGGAAATCTCCAAAAAAATTACAAATTTAAAAATTGCTAATTTTTAAAAAATTTTTACTTAATACATGAGATGATGTATGATGTTTACCTATCATTTGATATAGTTTTTTTTATAAATCTGAACCTTTACCTGCCCACAGGAGAGGGGATTCAAAATGACAACTATTTCACAAAAAAATTAACTTTTGAAAGTGTTCCAGAAATACTAACACTTTTATATATATCTTAAATTAAAGCTTATGTAATATACTTTGTTATGGAAAATAAAAAAAAATTTGGACTTTATTTTGTCTTCACGGTAAAAATGGCTACTGTATGCTATCTTTGTGTTAAAATTCTCGATTTTATAATTTACATTTTTAACATTATATAACTTTTTTGAAAAATGTATGAATCAATACAATTTTTTCATAAAAAGTAGTATTTATTTATATACCTCATTGGACATCCTTTTTTTTTGTAAATAAAACCATTTCCTTTATATATTCATATATTACACTTATAACTTGTAATCAGGATATAATTAAGAAAATAGGAGATTTTGGAATAATCCACCAATTTTTTCAGATTGAACACTATCTACAAATTTGCATCGAAGCATTTTTTATGATAGTGATTTTAATCACTGTCAGATATCATTATACTTGACTCAACTATGCCACGTTCTTCCCACTGTGCCCACTATGCTGGGGTTTTTTTTTATTAATAACTTATAAATAACTATTATGATTTTACTAAGTAATAAATTTATTGATTTCTTATCTATTACAGCATTTATTTTATTAATTAGGAGTAATAAAATTAAATACACTTTAATTATAATCAATATAATATTTGATATATTTGGTCTTAAGTAGAAGAATTTGGGGAAAATATATATATTTTTTAAAATATTAATAATATTGGTTTATTTATGTGATTTGTTTTACGAATAATAATTATATATTAAAATATTTATCAACTAAAACAACATGTAATATATATATTTTTAACATTTTTTTATTTTTTTCAGTGCAATTAAAATTACCCGGGCAATCAAATTAAAGAACTATTTAAAGGTGAATTACATGTATATCGAATAAATAAAATGTAACTACAATATTACCATATCTGTAATATTTTTATGTTATTAAAATTAGAAAAAATGAACTATAGTTTATTAGAATGCAGACTTTATTATTAGGTAAATTTGTTGATACCTAGACTCGGCTAACGGGAATGGATATACAAATTTTTTAATTTTTCTTATGTCATTTTTTCAACTACTAACTTTTTTTTTTGATTATTGGAAATTAAATTATTGGAATCAATCAGAATAACACAATTATGTTTTTTCTTCTAAAGATCTCGTAAAACATGTATGCAATCTTAATAAAAAAATAATTTTTTAATTTTAAAACTCCAATACTTGCCTAATGTATTAAATCTTCAAATGTAAAGAATGTTAATAACCTGTTAAATGATTTTAATTAACTAAAAATTAATATTTGTAAATATACTGAATATTTTCTTATATTTTGTAGTATTTATACTTAAAAATGTTATACGGATAATATAAAGTTTTTAAATTCTGATGAATTTTATGTGAATGGCTAATAATTAATTTGTATGGCTTTAAATGACATCTAAATGTACATACAATAGTGTAAAAACATTTTTTAAGTATATCTCCACAACATACAGACATTATCTTGTTATTTTTCTATTTTTTGCACAATTTTGTTCATTTATCTTTAATAAGAAGGGTGGTTTTTAAAAAAATTTCTTGATTTTATATTCATATCTGTATGATATTTATTACATAAAAAATTATTTAAATTCAAATTCCAGTTAAATGTTTTAATGTATCAACTTTTAACTGGTGCGAAAAATCAATTTTTTTTTTATTTATTTAAAGAAACTTTATTTAGTTACTGTTTCTGTTGTGTTCAAATTAATAAACACCATTTAATTAAAATATTAAAAATTTAACTGTTGTAAAGAAGTTAATTTTATTCTAATGTAATTTATGAATATTTTTTTTTGTATGAGTCATCTATTATATTAATTATATTCATTGAGTTTATTCACAGTAATTAGATTTACTATTAGTGAATTTTGCAGACTAATAATTAAAAACAAAAATTCAAGCTAAAAAACAAATGTGCAATAGTTCTAAATCTGTGGTAACATATTACTATCTAGTATTTATGACATTTGGCAAGTATTTTTCAGAATTTTATTAACAAATGTAAATTTTGTTATTAACAAAATACAAGGCCCAAAAATACTTTCTAAATTATAAACAATTATTGGGTATACAATTAGATACTTTTATTTTGTTTATTTTATTTTGCTCATTTAAAATGACTATTAATAATGCTGTTATTAGATTATTTTAGAGCTCAAAGTTGTTACTAGAGAACAATTATTAGCCGCCTAGCTGCTCTTAATTATTTTTTTTTTGTAAAAGTGTAAATTATTTAATGGTAATAATTAATGTGTACATATACATATATAGAAATAGTATGTGGCTAGTTATAACATTTATATAAATATTTGAGTTTTTATTTTGATTGTACAATGTACGACATTTGTAATACTAACTGATATTATTTTCACTCTGTTGTTTTTTTTTTATAAATATATATCTTACCTTGAATCTTTTATTATCGGTTTAAAGCAAATTCCAATTTGTAAAAATATTATTCTTGTCTCTCTATACTTTCTGTGGATAAAATTTTTGTCTGACTTTAAATAAAATATGTAATAGTAGTTCTTTTTTATATAAATCATAAGTATTCTTAAAAATATTAATTAAATAATATCAAAACATTGAATATTTTAAAATATAATGTTAAATTGGGAGTTTTTAGTTATGAGGTAATAAAAGAAATACTTGTTGTTAGTTATTAGTTATACATATTTAGCTAAAAAACACTCATGATGTTATGCATGTTATATAAATAGGTAATAAACTGAAAGTAAAAATAAACTTAAAACATACTAATTTATTGTTAACTGCAATGAAGCTCTGTACAAATTGTATTTTTTGTTTTGTGTTATACTATAATTTTAATCAGAACTTAATTTTTGTTGTGTAAAAACCTATGACTTATACATTTACCTATTATTGTTGCCAATTACACCATATCATATAATTATTAAAAAATTAACAGTGTGGAATAGACAATTTTTTAATTCATATTTAATTTGTAAATTTAAGAAAAATAATTTTTATTTTTATAGTCTACAAATTTCATGATGTAATCAAAGGATCAATAGTTCTGGCTAAATTTAACATTACATAAAAATGTTAAAATGTAATCAACTATAAATGAATAAGAATATAAATTGAAAAATAATTTTTTTATTTTATTATTTCCTTGACATCTTGGATAATTATATAGAAAGTTAATCTTTGTCAATGATGTAACCTTTAAATTTTTTTTATAATACTATAATGCTACAGCGTTCTGTAAACAGAACTTAGCTTCTCTTAACATTTAAAAATAAAACATTCTTCCTATACTAAATAACTTGAATTTCTACATTATTAACACGGTGTTTAATGGAAATTTTACATTATAAAATATCCTATAATAATAGTCAATTCTTAAAATTGAATCCTAGATCTTATAGTAAGTATAAAAATGGGAATAGTAATGTTTTCAAGTTGTGTCTAAATTAAGAAAAGTTCAAACTAACTCGAGTCTTAATAATTACAATGGCAAAGTAAATACAAAGTGTTAGCATAAAAGATATTTAGTACCAAAAATAATATCTCAAGAGTACTTGATTGTTTTCTGTATTTTTCTCGTGTAAGGAAATTTTTGTGAGTTGTACATTTTATATTCATGATTAAATGTATTAAAATAAATATTTTATAAAAATATAATATATATAATTTTATATTTTTATAAAAAAAAAAAAAAAAATATTCAACTTGAGATAATTTATGTTAATTAGTCTTCAACATTAAATATTTATTTTGAAACATTTGACTAATCCAATAAAACACTATTATTGTAGTCCTCTTCAGAATTTTTGAATGAGCTCTTAAATATTTTACTGGATTTATGCTTTGAATGAATATCTCTAATTAGAAGTTATATAAAAAATTAGTTAATAACTGCAATTATAATTACACTGAAAATACATTAGTAAATAATTAAAAATTATGAAGTAATTACAAGTTATTGATATAACAGTATGAAAAAATGTTCGACTAATTTCTAGAATCTTAAGAAAATATGTAATTAAAAAGAATTTAATTTGAAACATATAGGACAAGATCCAAAAAATATAAAAGTAGAATGAAAAAATTTATAATTTATAACTTGTAAATTATACTAAATAAAATTCATATTTTGCATTAAACATACATGTTTTTAAATTACAATGTAAAAACTATTTTCTCCATAAGTGCCAACTGCTAAAAGGTTTTTTTTTTAATTTTATAAATGATGTAGAAAATACAAATAAATTAAAAAATATATGTACATTTGTACAAATTTGTAGTCATTTATTTTGAACATGTAAAAATAAATAAAAGTGAGAAATATATTATAATCATATCTAAAAGTTATTTTAACATAGAATTCTTTTTCAAATTAAAGAAAAATAGCATTTCTCAACTTAAATATTTACTAACCACTGATAGTTCTTGCAGTTTAAAATGTGCAATAATACTAATAATTACAAATACAAAATGAATATGAACATACTATGGTCAGTTTTATAATAGTTTGTACATACAGAACCATAAATGAAAATATCTTAAAGAATTTACTTATTGAAAATAGTTATGATAAAAAGGAAAAGCAAAGACAATTTATTCATTAATTTTAATTTTCTTTGGTTCTAGATTTTCTTCAAAATCTGCACATTTTCTTTTTATAGGTAATTCATCACCTTGGCCAACTTCCACCACATCATCATTATCTATGTCTAATTCTACAACACTGTTGTTTTTAATTTCTTCTGATCCTTCTGGTAACTCCATGATACAATCTTCATTATCACTTTCATTTTCATCATTATTATCATTTTTTTCTTGTTCAGCCTTTTTGAGTTCATCCAAATTTCCAAAAACTTCAAAATCTGGATCTTCTTCTTCCACTTTTTCTTTATGGTGAATATCAATTTTGATTTTATAATCTTGGAAATAATCTTGAACAACCATTCTAGATCCATCCCTTACACCAACTTCTTCTAAAGTTTTAGAATATAAATCTAATTCATCATCTTCATCATTAGATATAATTAGTGTTGTATTAAGTAGAACATCAGGTGCAACAACATTTAATTTTTTTTTCAAAACTAAATCATCTAATTGACGTACAGTAAATGTATTAATATCAGTAGACAAAATAATTTGTCCTTCATTGGTGCAAACAGCACATTTTTTATTGGGATCACTTAGCTTTTTATCCCGAACCATAAATAAACCTTTGTGATTTGGCATTTCTCTTAAATAAACAGTTTGGCATCTTTCAAATTGTCCTCTTAATATTCTTAAAGCATGGATTACAATTTGTCCACCAACCATAGCATTAGCAGTAGCAATTGCAGGAATAATATTGCCAGCCATAGATTTAATATCAAAATGACTTTTCAATACAATATTAAATATTTTTGATCTAATATTTGTACAAGCAACAACAAAATTCATATAATCATCATCATCCTTGTCCCAAACTAAAAATTCATTTGATTTTAAAAATTTTTCTTTAATAGATGTGACACAATCTAAAAACATTACAACATATTGTTCTAATGATAATATTACAGTATCAGGCTCATTTTTGTATTTTGATTCTTCAATATTTTTAATAATATCCTCATTAAATGGAACAGGCCTAACTCCTTTATTTTTATACAAGTCTTCCATGCTTAACAAATATTGAATGTCATCAATAAAAAATTTTTTGAATAATTTAATAGGATCATAATTATTTGATTTTGCCCATTGACGGGCTGAGACTTTACTCTCACCTTCACCTTTTTCATCCATAGAAACATCTTCTTCCATTTCTCCGAAAAGTTGGCCAAACAAAAACTTAGCCCATATAATACAGTGGATGGGTTCCTTAGGAGTGTTTCTTATAGTACACATAGGAAATGATTTTGGTTCAGATTTTGGTACACATTCATAACATTGAGTCATACCTTTCTTAATTAATTCAACTTGACCATGGTAGCCTAATGTTCCAGATTCAATAAGTGGTACATCAACAGATATGCACATACGGTTTACATGGTTACGTGCCTTACGATTATCTAAGGCATTAATTATTAATTTAAATTTCTTAAAAAAAGCTGCACCATATTTTTTATCCATAATGTCACCAAGATGAGAATTTATATTGACATTGGGATTAAATCTTAATACACTTTCTTTAGCAACATGAGACTTTGCTTTTCCAACTGAATCTTTGTTGAATAGAAATTGTCTATTTAAGTTACTCACATCAATAGTATCCAAATCGATAACCTCAATATCACTAAAACCTGTTAACACAAGATTTTTTAATACTTCACATCCAATACCACCAGCACCAACCAATAATATTTTTGAATTTTTTATGAGGTTTTGCATTTCAGGATGAAAAACGCCAACAATATTTGCCGCCATTTCAAAATATTTTTATAATAATTAGATAGAATGACTTGAGTAGTTTATATTATCTTCTTTTCTAAAGTAAAATAAATATTGATCAAACTAATTATATTCAATTTATATAAAATATATTTATGGATCTTCTGTTTTCAACTAAACTAAACCATCAATGATTAGCTTCTATTACAAATTAAAACCCTACATTAAAACCATACAATTTTAACATTTATAGAACATTATATTAACTCAACTTTCTAGTTACAGAAAATTTAATACATAGTGATAATCAGTTCAATAATCTTTTCCTCGACAGACATTGGAATCCATATTAAAATTTGTCCTAATGTTTAAACACAAATTAATAGTTAAGTATATAAATGGTCAAAAAAATAATTAATTGTTTTGTATAAAGATATGAATCTTACAGAATAAAGAGTATATTATAATACTTTTATGAATTTGTGAAGAAACTTCAATCAGTTGACGGTAAAATAATTAAATTATGTAAGTAAAATCATTAAGAAAATATAAAATAGATTACTTGTTTTCAATAATTTAAGATTAAAATGAAACATAACTTACCAACAACTTAAATAAAAGTTTATAATTTACAAATATTCTGCGGCAAACGAAAAGAGGTGCTAAATAATAAACTCAAGATGAAATAAAACTATCAAGTATTTAAGTTGAAACTAGTAAGTTAATTTTTCATAAACAACTTACAACGCCGGATTTATTGTTTCCATTATGGCGCATTACTCAGTGTTGATAAAAAGTGATAAGTACCGGGTAATTTATAAGAACATGGTATGACCAACCTCATAATATTTTTAAAACTTTATTTATATATTCAAATTTATGTATTTGTAACACTGTAAGGTATGAATTTATTATGTACTAAGCACAATTACAAAAATTGAATATTATTCTTATTAGCAATGCCTATTTTTCGACGAAACGTATTATTACAATACTTTAAGTCAATATTTTCATTTAGTCTATGGTATAACTCAATTACAATATTAATTAGCTGATAACCGAGTTGGTCTTATTTGTGAAATAAGAAATTATAAAATTTTTGTAGATTAAACCTAGGATTTAGGATTTTTTTTAAATGTTCTGTTAGAAAGTTTTAACAGAACAATAGTCCGTTTACATAACTAATCTTCATAGTATGAACTTGAAAAATGACTTTTTAGATTACCTTCCAAGCATATTTTTCATTATCTATCACTAAAAACTATATATATTTATAACTAATTTTTGTGAAATTATCTTTTTATAGGCATTGCTGAAACTGAATATTAAATTTCAACCTCCTAAATGAGTTTATATATATAATAGATCGAATTAAAAGACAATGTTTTATTTTTTCATTCTAATAATTTTACTATATGATTTTACACATATATTATAAACGTATTATTTTATTAAGTTTTCACTTAGCAAATAGAAAAAAAATTAATTTTGTCTAAAAATGTGTTTTATTTAAAAATCTACAAAATTATTTTTGATCTTTTTTTATTAATTTTAAGATTTTTTACAGTGTTGTAATCTCAAATATTTCATAACCCCCCCTCCCAAAAAGAATTGTAAAATTATATGAACAATTACATTTCTGTGAAAACATATTTTAAGGTAGGGGGAATATATATTATGAGCCCTCTATAAATTGTATTTTATAATCGCCTATATTATTCATAATCATTAAATATTTTTTTTGGAAAGAAAAGGAATCAGTAAGTTTCGAGATCGCCACTGTATATTGAAAAATTTTTCTCATATAATATATTTCTCGTAAATTTAAACGTTGTTGTTAGTATTCAACAGGAACTGTCTGAGGATAAAAACATGATAGAATAAAATATTTATAGTGTGTTTGAATTAGTTCAGCCAAACTTATAAAAGGAAAAGAACAAATATTTTTAAATTATACAATTATTTTGGACTATATGTAATTTTTGTAAAGTCGCCATCAAATTTTTGTTTAATTAATTTTGTTTACTTGTCTACACCTATCTAAACCTATTTACCTATGTACTCAGTCGATCGTTGCTTGTTCTTTAATGTTAGTACATAAAAAAGAAGTTTTGAATATCAGCATAACATTGAAACATATTTTGTACGATTATTTTTTTTTGTATTTAGTATAAGACAACAGTTTGATAATTTTTGTATAATTAAAATGGAAATAATACTAAATATTCAAGTGTACTTGTGTATATATATATATATTTTTTTTTTTTTTTGAAGGAAGAAATAATAATTATGAAAACACTAGAATGATAAGTTATTTTAAAAGTCAGTCTGAATGGAAAAATATAAACGATGTGGAATTGATTAAATATCTGAAGGATGAGTATAATTTCAACGATTTTATTGTTTCTGTAACAATTACAGAAACAATTATATTCCAGAAAAAGTATTATGAATTTGGATTTATATTTGATTCGAAAAGAAACTCTTCTTGTTCCACCTAAAGACTATGAGATGTGTAAGAGTAATTATTAAACTTATTTTAAATTATTTTTTATTAATATTTTTAAATGACTTAGCTACGATATTTACGATATTGTACTTTAGTACAATATCTTTTTATAAATATCATACAATATTTCAATGAAAAAATTATTTTTTAATTATAATATTGACTTAAATGCATTTAAAATTTTTACACGATTTTAGTTTATTTTTTCAAATATTTTAGCTTCGATGCGAAGCTGAGAAGGTATTGGTTTTACTAAGATGTGTTTTTTTTTTTTTGTGTCTGTTACCACTTTTTCTCAGCTCTCACCGAACCGATTTCTTTCAATGATACGTCAAAAGATCACAAATCGTATCTAGTCGAAGACATTACCCTTAAAAATTGAAAAAATTTCCCTCGTTCCCCGTAAAAGGGGGAAACCTCCAAAAAAATTACAAATTTAAAAATCGCTAATTTTCGAAATTTTTTCAATTTTTTTTACTTTAAAGTGCCATAACTTTTTCAAAAATGAACATATCAATATAAATCTTTTTTATATAGATGCATAATATCATTACCTTTCATTTGGTATATTTTTTTCATAAATTGAACCCTTAACCTGNTAGGGGCGGATTCAAAATGACAACTTTTTCAACTTAAATTTTGAAAGTGTTCCGGAAAGTCTGACACTTTTATATATATATTAAATTAAAGCTAATGTAATTTACTTTATTATGCGAAAAAAAAATTTCGAACTTTATTTTATCTTCACGGTGAAAATGGCTACCGAATGCTATTATTGTGTGAAAATTCTCGATTTTATTTTTTACATTTTTAACTTTATAATGCTATGACATATTGAAAAGTGTATGGATCAACATTATTTTTTTATGAGAAATAATATTTTTTAATAATCCCTTTTTCATTCTACATACTTTATCTTAATTAGGATATTAATAATGAACTAGCAGATCATGTAGCTTTTGGAATAGTCCACCAATTTTTTAAAATTAAACAGTATCTAAAGATTTGCATCGAAGCGTTTTTTTTTTATAGTGATTTTAATCACTGTCAGATATCATTATACTTGATCCATCTATACCACGTCACCACTGTGCCGCGACCCCCCTGTGCTGGGTTTTTTTTTTATTGTTGTGCTGATTAAGAAAATACAAAAAAAAAATGAATATTATTTTAAGAAAAATGGAAGGCCAGCTATAAAAGAGTCATCTTGTATACATTTTATGAAAAAACAATTTTTTTTTGTTTTACGTAATTTTGGTTAAAAATAAGATTATTGAGATTAGTTTTGGTTTTTTTAGGTCATACTTACTTCATACGTACATACGTCATACTTGTATTATCATTTGGACCCAGATTTCAAGTCATATTGCATTTTTTAGTGTTTACTTAGACAATACTCTCCAGTCATATAATTAATTTTATGTAATGGAGAATTCAAAGAGGAAACTTTTAATTTAAATATTTTTTGCAATTCTTCGATTTTAAAACATTGTTGTCATTTTTAAGACCATTTTAACATATTTAAGAGCATAATTAGTGAAAAATTACGTTATTATTCAAATTAGATAAATTAATAGTGTGTTCTACAAAGTGAACAACTTTTTTATTTGTATGAAAAATTAATTTTTTTTTTGTGTATGTAACTACTTTTTCTCATTTTTCACTAGACTAATTTTTTTCATCGACATTATACTCGAAAACTGTAAAAATGTACCTCGTTATCTATAAATAAAATTTGGTAAATTTTGATATTTTAAAACTTATAGTTTCGATGCGAATCGGAGAATGTATTAATTTTGCTTTGATGTGTTTTGTTTTATGTTTGTGTTTGTGTTTGTATTTTGAACGATCCATCAAAAGATCACAAATGATATCTAGTTGAAGACATTTCCCTTAATTTTGTATAATAGCAAAAAACTTATTTTATCATCATTTAGTTGTATACAAATGATTTTTTTTTAAATAATTAAAATAAATTCTTGTATATTATTTTGTCTATATTAATGTAAATCTTTCAGTTAAGAACTTCAACTAGTGTTATATAACTTGAGTATAAGAAAATGTTATTAAGTATTCACTGTTGACATTTGAACATAAATTATTTTTACTTGTACTGTTTGACTATTTCAATGATTTATATGAGCTTAAACTTATTATGATATTTTAATTATGTCAATTCCATTATGTATTTAAAATCCACGAACCAATTTAAGACTTTCATAAACATATTCCTAAGTTATTATTTTTTTCCTAAGAATTATTTTAATGAATTTTTTACTTTGTTTTAAAAATATTTTTAATACCAATCCATGAGTTATTTTATTTTTCACTTTTTTACTACTATTACATAAAATAGCTACTAGAATTTTTAATAATTCAATAATTTCGGACCAATTAATAGTTAAAAGAAATTAATACATGTGCATTATAATTTTTTACCTTTAACATAGATACTTTTTATTTTATAATCTAGTTAAATATGTATTTTGCCATTATAAAATAAAGTGGCGTTCTCATTAGGTATAAAGGATAAATTTAAAAAAATTTAATAATTAGTAAATCAAGAAATATATTAAATTAAAAAATACCAAAAAAAAAATTTTCTTAGTATAATTATTATTTTAAGAGAAATAGAATAGCTAATATTAAAAGAATCGCTCTATGTTAAACGACTTTATACTTTTTATAATTTCTCCGTAAAAATTACAATACTAAATTGTTCAATATCAATTTCATACTAAATTTAATTACTATAATAATTATTATTTATGTGTTATGCTTATAAATCATAAAACTTGTAATCATGATATAATTAAGGAAATAGGAATTTATGCTGCTTTTGGAATAATTCAATAATTCCTTCTAAAATCTAAACACTATCTACAGATTGGTATCGAATCGTTTTTATGGTAGTGATTTCAATCACTGCCAGGTAATGTAACATGAGTAAGTATAATTGATTTCTGTCTGTAAATATTGCTATTTATTATAGATTGTAATTATCAACCGTATCTGTAATATTAGACACATACAAAAATGCACGATAAAAAAATATTTAAGAAAAACTTTGTTTATGAAAGATTTAAATTTCAGAGAAAAATAAATTGTGTCTTAAAATTATATTTAATTGACACCTAACGCATATTAATTAATCAACGAACCCCAAAATAAAGGCGCTAGAGTTATTTGGATTTAATAAATAAAATAAAATTATACTTGCTAAGTTATTTGTTTTATTCAAAAAGTAATTAAACTTATATTATGA